CTACTTTTGCTCGAGTGTGTGCGTGTGTGTGTTAGCGTCTATACGCAATACCGGTCCCAAATCAGAGTTATCAAAAGGTTAATGTTAGGCTCTGATCATCAACGCCTAATGACTTCAAAGAAAGCCCTGACCGAGACTGCGTAAGTCCGTAAGTAAGTATGATTGAGATAATTATATGTAAGCTTGTAAGCATGCCAGTTAAGTTACGAAACCACTTGTCCTAACCTCTCAGTCTAGAATCATTAATGTTCAACCCCCCTTGGAAAGACATCACTGGGGCTGCGTAATCTGGCACGTCTGGTTTGGTTGATGAGCTTAGAAAGAGAATAAACTCAGTTAAAAAGATGGGTTCACCTCAAATAATTTTATTTCATTCAGCCCTAGTCGAAGTGCGCAGCTTGTATGATACGATTACTAATAGATCCAGAGAAATAATAAGATATAAGCAAAAAGCTGTTAAGAAAGCCTTCTACTATTAAAAGCCAATAATGAGGCAGAGGTGAGAAAATGGAAAAACTGATTAAAAAGGAAACATCAATGTTTGATTAAAATTTATGTTAGATCATGCTAGCTTTTTCGTTTATAAAACTAATACTTATGAGAATTATTGAGATGAATGATGTGAAGAAAACGTATCTGCCGCTGCCTAATTGAGCATTTCTGCATGCGTTGGTAAACTGGCCCTGATGGCTAATGAAGTATAACCAGGCTAAAAACGAAAGTAGAAAAATCCAAAATTTTTAGCCGAAGCTATAGGCTCAAAATCCTATGTATCTATAAGGGCTAAGAGTAGCGTGGAGACAGACTGGGAAATCATAGGTGATAAAGTTCAAATAAAGAAAAATGAAATTCCAGCATACAAGAGCTTACCTAGAAGGGGAAAATAACTAGATTTAAACTAACAAGATATAGAAGATAAGATTCTGTAGTCCAACCAGCCTATCAAAGCGAAAATTAAGCAGAAACTTTGCAAATATGGAGCAAGACACTTTAAAAAAATAACAGAAAACTTGAAAGAAAAGTAAGGTCAAGAATGAGAAAACATGGATGAGTAGAACTGGTTTTCGAAAAACAGTTTTTCTCCTTATCTACTATGAACCTATGGATACCAAGATTTTTTGGGTTCATCACTACGCTAAGACCAAGAAAGCGCTGGGCAGGCAATTTAAGCATATTCGATTTATGGAATTATATTCATCATGTAGAATTGTTCTCAAATTCTGTATTACTGACAAACCGAATGTCCCTAATAGGACTAAGCAAGTCCTTCTGAGAGAATCTCACGAATTAGAATTTAAGAAAGTACTATAAAATAACATTCATTGATAAGAAGGAAAACCAGATTACGACAATCACTGTTGGAAGCTCATAGCTCAGACGATTACTTTAAGTTGAAAACAATGCCAGATAAGTTATATGCTAGAGTTTTTTAACAGGTTATGATAAAACATAATTGAAGCCTTAGAAATTTGAGTATATGAATTAATTGTTGAGCTTACTTCCATTTCGAGTGAAAGTGTTTGGTAAAGAGATTAGAAGGTCGATTTCACCAGAATACGACGGCGGATTCCTCTTGACCAG